TACCTCTACCACCATGGGATTTGATTCGATAACTGAATCTCTGTGCTAATGTGGTACGTACGTACGAAGTTCCACGTTGTTACTGACTGACTGACTGACTGACTGGCTGACTGACACTTGAGGAGGAAGCCGAAAGAGGAAGTTTAGAGTTGAAAGTCGATGTCGGAGGAATAATAGGAATTGAGGAGGGAGGTTGATCATGAATACAGTGGTCTTGAGTGCTGTTAGAGGTATAAGGGTGGTTATCACTTCTCGGTCGCCCACACCGTGGAAGGATATTCAAAGTCTCTGACTATTGGTTACGATAATCACACGGAACCCAACCACGTAATCTACACCTGTTAACATCGCTCAGTTTAACAGTCAGTATCTTTATGAAATAATGCCATGTTGTGCTTTGGACGATCCTAGCTCCCTCTCAACCCACTCTTACACCAGATATACTTGCGCGTCGAAGTAGTCTGTGGGTGAGCAGACCTAATGAGTGCCCTGACCATCTCAGTAAATAGACAGTCAAAACATCCCTAACCCTAACCTACGAATATTTTCTATTTTTGATGGCCATGTTTTACAGCTACAAAGTACCAATGGAGCAAACTATTGCGCAGTGTACACGTCCTCTGGTGGGCAGGTGGGTATTTCTCCAATGTAAGTCAGAAAAAGTCAAGTGAGCTTTTTTAAGATACCAATCCAGTAGTGCTGTTTGGACTCAAAAAGTGAAGTGAAATTATAGGTCGGTCATCAGTCCGGAGTTATCTACTCTTCATATCGAAACATGAATTATGAGAAAAATCCAAAGTTCAGAAGAAAGAGAGTGAGTACAATCGATTTCCTGCTTTGCTGTGACCAAATATGTACCGCATATATATAAGCTCAACTATTTCACTCCCTACCACTAATTCAAGCATCTACGCAGACCAGTCCTGAAACAACACTTGCATTTGGAGAGTGAGAAACAGAGAGAATCGCATCCTAAACATACTTGCATTACTGATTAGAGTAGTCAGAAGACTGCATTTCGTCAGCGTCTTCACTAAGCACAACTATATCATCTGCATATCCTAAGTCAACAAGTGAATCTCAAATTGCAAGATTGATTTCTCGGAAAGCAGACAATCAAAGTATTGTCTCTAAAGGGACGTCTACAACAAAGTTGGACAAACATGGAGAAAGCAGACAGTCTTAAAGAAAGTCACTCAAGGTTATCAATTCCGATGACAGTTCACTGCAAGTTCTGGACAGAAGAATAGTGTCTAAGTAGGAAGTCTGCACAAGGTTGATGTTCGTCGTTGTCACATCTTTCAACGACAGACGCTAACAAAGAACATAACAACCAACGGAGTCGAACGTCCTCTTCAGGTTACGGAATACTACTATAGCCGGACGTTGAAAACAATGTCTATGTTACAGGACCTGTAGAAGGGTGAATAATTAGTCTATCTATCTACAACCAGGTCTGAAACTAGAATGCTCTTCATGAGAGCTAGTTAAGTGTCGAAGTATTGTTGAATTTAATATTTTAGACACTATATTCCTTGCATTACAATATAATAATTTTAGACAGACGCGTGGTTTTTAATAACTCTATAAAAACCTACATTAGCGGATAACCTTTATAAAATAGACTCTTGGTGGTGCAGGATTTTTAAAAAGACGGCTTTAAATCCCTTATTTTTGATTGGTGTACACTATCCCAACCGTGTCGAGAATCATTGTCTCAATTGACAGAATGTCTGTTTTGGAAGTCCTGCTTTTTCAAAACAGCCTAAAGCCGCTAAATACTTGTCAACTGGAAGCTATGGCCTGGTGTGAGACTATGAAATCATGTCTGAGTCTAGGATTGCTAATATAAACATTCGTATCGTGATGCAGATTAAATAAAACGAGTCTAATTATTACTTCAGTTTCCCAACTGCAGTGAAATTTTCATATTATAACTATATTACTTATGAGTAACGAACATTTATCCCCTTTCTTATACTTAAATGGCTTAATCAATGGTAAACTTTTTAATAGTTTGATAAATATTTTTTCTATTCAGCCGCGTTGAAAGAGCATTTTTCGTGCCTATATGAGTTGAGATTTTACTGTTGTTATTAAATGCATTACCTTGAATATGAAATTGATACAAACTAACCATTATTCATAAGATATTTCGTCTAAATTTGAACGAATAGTTTCGCAGCAATTGGACGTCATGTAAGACATTAAGGTCGAAAAATACATTTAAGAAATCTCAGAGATTGAATTTTAAGCAAGTTCAACGTTTCTCTTGGCATTCTAGTCCAAGCTTGTTTAAGGAAATACAATCAAATATCAAAATTTTGGAATATAAATAGGTACATGGTTCTCCAGTTAGCTGTATATTAAACAGGCCATCCAATCAATTGTATGACTCAACTCTATATATGTAGGTGAGACATTACGAAAACTGAATGTGAGGATGAAGAAACACAAATTTTACTTGAAGCATATTTCTAAATCCTGAGATGATACAAAAAAGCTCAAAAACAAATCAGCGATAACATAACACTTAGTAGAGTTGGGCCATACAATTAATTTCAGTGGCATAAAGACCCTACAAAGAAGTTTCAGGTCTTAAAAAGAGAGACTAACAACTAAAGCCCTACACATGTGGGTAAACCCAAACAGTATTATTAAGATGGAATGCAATTAGTTGTTCCATGGCAACTATCTATCCCTGATTATCTGTCAGTCAGTCAGTAACAACGTGGAACTTCGTACGTACGTACATCAGTTCGAGTTGCTATACCACATTAGCACAGAGATTCAGTTATCGAATCAAATCCCATGGTAGTAGAGGTACTGAAAGTATAAGTAGAGATAGGGGACATCAAGGTTTGATGATGTTATTAAAGGAGTATAGTCCAGTGGAACAAATTGGCAAAGAAAATAAAGGACATGGAGAATTCAGAAGATTAGTTTGAGAGAACACAAAGAGTGGATACACCTGCGCCATTGCAAACGATTTTGAGCCATGTCATTCAAGGTCTCTAACCATCGGTTGCTATCGTCTCGCGGTCCCCAACCAGGTAGTCTACACCTACCAACATGACTCAGTCCACTTGTCAGTGACTTCATGGATTTCTGCCATGTTTTGGTCTGGCCGCCCCTAGCTTTCTTCCAACCTACTCCTACACCATAAAACATAGCACGTCGGGGCAGTCGGTGGTCGGGCATGCGCAGCACATGTCCCTCATTATCTGGACAACAACAATTACTTTCAACTGTTTTAATTAGTTGATTTATCTGAACATATGGTAAAAAATTAACCTAAGTAGCATAATCGCACAAGCATTCATCCATTTATTTTTGTTTTGTTTTATTTATCTTCATTTTATGTATACTTTCAACTTTGTTAACATGATTGGATGACCTGTTTAATATACAGCTAACTGGAGAACCATGTACTTATTTATATTCAAAAATTTGGATGTTTGATTGTATTCCCTCGAACAACCTTGGACCAGATTGCCGAGAGAAAGGTTGGACTTCCTCAAAATTCAATCTCTGAGATTTCACAAATATATTTTTCCTCCTTAATGTCTGACTGTTATTTGTTGTAGAAGCATATATTATTTATATACTTACATACATATTCTGAGAATCCAAGACAGCTTCATGACTTTATTTGACCTTGGTTGAATTGTTTCGGCAAACATAAAACGGTGTGTTTGGTATTTTAGACACTTTTGTTCAAGCTTTAGTGAATTTCTCTATCTATTTATTTATCTGCCCGCAAATGCCCTGATACGGCCGAGAGTGAGGAGAGTCATCTCTCCCTCTCGAAATGCTCTCACATGGCCACACGTATACAGCCACTCCCGGAGAAGTCTTACTCACTGCTTTCTCGTGGAAGGGGTGTTATTTACAAAAGTGAGAGGACGAAAAGCGAATATCCGGTGCTTTAACCAGGTTAATGGACGCAAAGGGTCCACTTAGGGGAGTTGGGAAACCCTGATTCCAGACCAATGGTGCACATGGGCCCCAGTATCCTGAAGGAACAAATGGCATATGAGTCAATTATTGGTCACCGACTATCACGGGACTGTATTTCCTGATGTTGCTCCGCTGCCTTGTGGATCAGACCTTTAGATCGAAAGCTCCATTCATGAAGGTCTGTCCAGGAATATACGGGTATTAATCATCAATGTTTCTTCACAAAATGGGATTAGCATTTTGTGAAGTATATTCTCCCCACTCCACTATGCCAAACTTTGTGATAAGGTCGAGTACATAATGAATATGTTACGTTCACTGACTGCAAACGGAGATTCTCTTAATTAATATTTTGATAAGTTATTAAATTCAATACTAGTTAGAATTGGCTGTATTTATGTTAATTTCAGCAGTTTAATTTTTATGTCGATCTAGGCCGGACCACCATTGAAAACCTGGAAGCACTGGACGACCGTTCTGTCCTAGTATGAAACTCTACAGTAGTGCATCTGTATTAGCTGAAACTTTCTATGAACATACAAATCAGCTCATCGAATGATGAAAAACTGTGATCTTCTAAGGTACACAAAGTAAATCTACTAGTAACATTTCTACTGATCAACATAACACAGCGATATACTGTAATGTAGACACTTTTTGCAAATTATGTTTGGTTGACCTAGGCTTTGGATTGATTATTACTCGTAAACCGGGAATATAATGTAACTTTAGGGACTTAAGGTTAATTTGTAGCTTCAGAAACAAGAAATCCAGGATGAAGATTAGTGTGGGAGGGACAGATTATCTCTAACCCATAAAGTAATTCAAAATGGACATTCGAAAATACGGTATTGAATTTTCGTACTTTATATCACATAAGCTCCAAAAAATATGCAGATTCGTGTAGAGTATAAACAAATGATAGAAAATTACACCTAGTTTAAGCTTAGTTGAGACAACTGCGTTTATTTAAGTCTTGATTGATTGTAAACCACAAAACATTATTTAAAAAGTCACCATGGAAAATGTCAAAAACTCACCAGATGAGATGTCCATACCAGTAATGCGCCCGGAGAGCAAGATTTTGCCAGTATTTTCTCCCGATCTTTCATCCCAAATGCGTAAATGCTGATCGAAATGGCCAGTAACAAGCGCAGACATGGAAGGACAAACAACTACATCTTGGAATGTGGAGGCAGCCATGATGGTACGCCTACAACAGCACTTGTCAACGTCCCAAATCTAGGATTACACGAAGTAAAATCAATTGATTACAGAAGGAAATTCAGACACTATTACATAAAACGAAATAGAAGCTGCACAACCTTTTAGATCAAGGTAATGAGTAGTTAAGCATGTTTTTAAGTGTCAGGTTATAAAAATCTATGTGGCATTTTGTAATATCAAAATGTTTTCTGAGAACCAGTAAAATATGACATTGAGTATATAATGTACATTTGAACAAAATATCATATTAAAAATCCTGTCCTGACAATGGATTCTTGGCAAATTCCAAAATACAGCTGATGTCATTTTAGTGAGTTCAAAGAAAATCTTGTTTTAACCTAGTTTAGAAACTGAACATGTGTCGTACGATTTTTATTAGACGATTTTGCTCAAGCGCTTCAACCTACGATCACTGTTATGTGGATCCATCATTATATAGTTCTATACATGCAGGATGATGCCTAACAAACAGAAACTTTTTGTCATTAATGTATCTTAACATGTTTAGGTTCATAAAATAAAATCATCCATAAGATAAGGGTTTTAGCAAGTATTCGACACCTAACATTAAAATTATTATTGAAAAGAGTGATTGCAGTGATAACACTAAACACTTTAAATTACCTTGATCGTTCTGTCTGATGAAGCAGTAACAACGCGGTTAGCAGACCCCATAAATTTAGCAGAGATAACACGCTCAGAATGTCCTGTCAAATTGACTCGAAGTCTGGAATCATTAAGTGTCCATACACGACACGAAAAATCACTTGAGGCACCTAAAACAGCAGTTTCCTAAAATAAATCAGGAAAAAGTGTAAGTGAAAAAACACAAAGCGGGTTAATATCATGAAGAAAAGAAAACACAAATATTTAACATTCTTCGGCTGTGAAGTTATACTAGGTAACGCAAAATGTCGCGTAAAATAAACAACACTTAAAAGGCAAAACTACACTAAAGAAAAGAAATGCTTCAACATGAATACATATGGTTGAGGATCATTAACAATCTGCGATATTTTGATAAGTTTTACTGAAATAGAGTGGGATAAATCAGGAATCGTGAAACCACGAGTTCAGATCAATAACGTTCAGAAAATTTATGCAAAAAAGAATTTACACCAGCGAAGTCAGTTTTAAGAGATTTCAACTGGTAAGTCCTATTGTTGCGCAAAGTTAAATCATGTAGTATCATGCCCCCCTATAGTCTACACTAACAATCGATGAAGGTCATTGTAGGGTTTTGTGGAGATTTTTAAATTTGAGGTTACAGGTAACGGACTGGCTACTGAGTCATATGATTTAAAGATCAGGCCCTAGTCCAGAAGGCTGTAAGCCCTGACTTTGAGTCTTGGTAGAGTTCTGGATGTGAATCGGGACGAAACACCCGTCTAATGCTTTCTAGTTTATATCAATTGTCTGACCAAAGTCAGTCTGTGATCCAAAACTTCAGAGTCGCTGATTTAATGAACTATTTCTTTCTAACGACTGCTCTAATGAAAAACATACCTCGACGTAGCCAGTAGTTCCGGATGGACGAAATGTCTGTAAGTTCGTTTGACTATTTTACAGATATTTTATTTATTTATTTTAACACATAAGTATAGGTACAGGGAGGCACCAAGTACATATGCGCCACACGAATCTCAATTGATTTGTGTGAGGGCTGTGATACTGCCCGGGTGCCCAAACCGAAGCAGGTGGTTTTCTTAGGGGGCCACACCCCGAGCCTTCGACCTGAACGTCTCACCCACAAGGCAGTGGAGCATCGTAAGGAGATGCAGTCCCATGGTAGCAAGTGACCAAAGTTGGTTCATACGCCATTTATTCCCGCAGGATACTGGAGCCCATGTGCACCATTGGTTTGGGGTCCGGTTAAAGCGCCGGACATTCGCTTTTCGTCCTCTCATTTTTGTAAACAACACCCCCGCCACGAGAAGGCAGTGAGTAGGACTTCCCTGGCAGAGGCTATATACGCATGGCCATGTGAGAGCATTTCGAGAGGGAGAGCGGACTCTCCCCATTCTCGGCCGTACCAGGGCCAGAATTTAAAAGATAAAAACCGATTAACAAACAAACAGGCAGTAAACGGTAAACCGGACGTAAACTTATTGAGTTGTGTGAAACATTTTCCAACCAAATGTTTAGCAAATTGAGTACTTATATTATTTTTTTTTTTATTTATTTTATTTATTTATGGCTTTATTCAATATTATATTTTGGTACAACATAGAATTCTCAGCACAATAGAAAATTACTGAGTGAGAAGGAAACCTCTGATGAACAGATCTATGCCACTTGTCGACAAATTATCAAGGGTAGATAAAACAAAATTAACAAAATTTCATATAACTAGCGTTACTGACGTTGAGCGAGAACCAACGTTTTAATCTGTCAAATGGAGAATGTTTTAATGGTGTTCAAGTTCAAACGTGATGTCAAATACATCATTGTGTGTAAATTAAGAAACTAGGTGTTCATTAGCATTGCTTAAATATGGTGAGTATGCCGCACGGAGAGCCAGAGGGTGTTGTGATGATTGGTATTTTTAGCGTGAATATTCAGTTACTATTTACCCCATGATTTACTTTACCGATGTCACATTTTGTCCCATTTTTTTGTGTTGACTTTCTTTCACATAGCTGCTATTTTTGTCTTTCTTTCATAATCCTTCTTATGAAATATAAATTAAAACATTACATTTCGTTTGAACACATAAACATTGGTACAAAGGGGCACAAGAATACATATACTACATATAAGTCACTTAATTTATGTGTGGGCTGTGATACTGCCTGGATGCCCAGACCGAAGCAGGATATACTAAAACAGCATGAACTGATAAAAATGATTAGATTCTGAAGTGTCCTCGTCTGTCTATTCGTCAGACCCATGTAAGAAGAATAAATTGAGACCTACACGAATTGCAAAGTCAGGTGAGCAGATCCCTGAATAAGTAAACATTGATCATATTTTACAAGGCGATGGTGGTTGCTCTACAATGATTATATAGCATCTAATAATCTAAAGAATTTACAGGGCCCACTGATTTTGATGCATAAAATATGACCGCGACTATTTTTGAATGCCTGACTTAATGAAACTAGGAATAAATTCCTTTGGAAATACGTTTGATGTCGACATAAATCTTACTCAAAAAAACATCACAGTTACATTGGAAAACTCACATTTGGGTCAAAATCTATGGCAGTAACAGCAGCATTACAACCAACAAGGGTTGAATGGATTTCACATTTTCCTAGTTTCAAAACATAAGCAATTGAAAAAGTATAAAAAACATTTGCACAATAAAATATTCTACTATAAAATATACAAATAGTACTACTTGACAAATTTTATACCGCATATGATACAAAGTTCACTCAAGAATAAGGTAAATGCAGAGTGTACAACAACGCCTATAATTCAAGGTTTTGCTTTGACATTGTAAAAAATTCTACGCTGGACAATTAAAAAATGTATACCATTTAGATATGTCCATAATCGGAGTTTACGATCGAATCCCGCTGATCCGAAAATGTGACCTGATGGGGTGAATCGAACACTATTTACTTCATTTTCATTAGCATCCTGGAAGCGACAATCACAAGAATATTGATCGAGAACTTACTATTTTGACTGCAACATTACGCGGAAGTGCAGATTTACAGGGTAGTGGTTTGTCAGAACAATCACTGAAAAGTTACAAGAAACAACGGAATTAAACCTATCAGTAACGAATATAGTCGAATTAACTGCATCTTGAAGATTCTTGCGGATTGTTTCTTGAGTTTTTCTACGAAATGTTTAATATTTTAGACTTACCTATACTGCACATCATACTCTATATTTTTCAATCTTTCTACAGTGGACTGGAGGGCTTTTATTCGTTTCATAAGTTGCAGATTATCATCCTCAAGTTGCCTGTTTTTTGTTTCTAATGCCTTCGTGGTCATTAAGTGTGAGGCCTGTTCATCTGTAAGCAACTGAGAACACAAGTTGCATAACACCAACACAACACACTTCTTTAGCTTCCTCTAGTCCCTTAACCTTTTCCATTAAGTGATGGTTCTGCACTTGGTTAGCCTTAAGGCAATCCTCTAACTCCGAAATCCTAAACAGCTCGCTTATATAAGTGTAAAACCAACTTCAAGGACTTTGATTGGAGCAAGGTGTCTTTCTCCTGGAGAACCCTGTTTAAATCAATAACATTTTGCGCGAGCTAGCAGTTTTGAAAACAGACCTTTGAACTTACGTTCCCTTTCTGTCGATGCAATTCAGTAACCTCTTCTTGTAAATGAAACACCTTCTGCTCATAGTCATAAGATTTAACAGACTTTCTAAAAGAAATCCTAATATGAAGGGAAATGAGGATACATCTTTTCAAGTTCAAGCTGTATTGAGGATTTCTCTTGTTGGCATAATGTTAGTTCACGTACAAGACGAGTGTTTTCCCCCTTAAGGTATAACACAAGGTCCTTATTTGAGTTGTCTGAAATTTTAAATAAATGCGGATGTGAACAAACACTGTGTAAAAATTTCAGTAAAAAATGACTTCTCGATAATATCACGTTCAAAGAGGGATGTAAGTATAGCAGCTTTCCATGAAGGACCCTCCTCCATTTAAACTACCGCAAGGCCACACCTTTGTATTGGGCGCTCTGAAGCATCCAATACCTTTGAGATTTCGCAGGATAAACCAAAGGCATTTCTTCAGATATTATCTTGATGTGACAGGATGTTTTCATATCTTATTCTGTGTACAAGAAGAGCAGTTCCGTTACTCGTCTTTAATATTTTCAGTGAATTCGGCAGATATTAACGTATCGATATATTTTGAGTTTAAGCTAATGCGTATTTCTTGAGTGAGTGAAGTTGTAAATGATCTAGGATCACAGTCATCTGGAAGAATATTTCAAATGAAATAAACCAGTAGTGAGAAATACATGATTCTGCCTGTTCTTTCACCCTTTGACTGATGATAACCCGATTATATACTTGTGGATCTCAAGTTTTGGGTTCAAATACAACATTTTTGAGCCTATAACTTAAATAATTTACTGTTTTTTATGTTATCAGGTTACCTTCTTCTTCTACCGGTCAGCTTTTTACGCAGATATTGCTACATCAGACAATTTGCTTTTAGCTGGATCGAATGTACTTGTGTAAAACTGGTTTGCGCTTCATAACGAACCTCCAAAATTTCGTTCAGGCACTGAGGTGTACCGGACAGTATGGTCGATGCTTGTTGACTCTAGCAGATTTACTCAAACTTGGACTGTTCAAACCCTCCAGTTTGTATCATTTAGATTCTGCTTAACTGAGTTTGAGAAAGATTTTGAGAAGAGATACTACTGTTGATGGTAGATTAACGAATTTTGGAATGACAGAGCTAGTCTATGCTGAAGGAGTCGAACAACCAGGAGAAAATGTGCGACAGATTCAAATATAGTATTTAAGACGTTCAAGTACAATATATTAAGGTAAGAAATGAGGCTGTTAGTGCGGTGTTTCGTCGATTGAATTTTATTAGAATCACGTGCTGAACTGAATTAGGACACCATTGGGAACCAAGAAACACTGAACAGCCGTTTCTTCGTGGCATGATACTCCTCATCAGTACGCGTCTACCTTACCACAATTAGGAATCAAACTCAAGACTTGTCTAGTGCACAAACGTTTAAACTCTAAACCAGTGAGCAGAGAGTCAACTGTGTGCAAGTCTAACCTCAATCTATGATAGTGGGCCACTATCTTCATTGTCTTCGGTAGGTGCATTCTGCACAAACGACACAGTTTAGCTTCATAGGCCACGGCTTCTTACTAGGAAACTGAAAGTCTTTTTGAAGCTTAGCACTTAGGAGTGCATAATTAATGTCAATATGAGGTTGTGGATATTGTTGGATTTTGTTGAAATCACGAAGCCATCGTAAATGCGTTTTGTTGAAAAGCTCCATACCAGGACGACACAGTCATCCACTGCTTGCAGGTCTTCGATGATCGTCTAACTTAGATCGATCCGATAATTCGATAAAAAATACCGTTCTCAAGGAAGTGAAGTCTAAATATTTCACTTTATTGAAACAGTGAATGTATTTGTATCACACCCAATTTTTCAATTGATAAAGTGTGGCGAACCTTTATGATGCACAAGCGGTTTAGCTGACTGCTGTAATGAAGCCCGTGGAATAATTTTAAATTTCATGGCTGTATTTGCATGATATATGCTTCAGTCTTTCAATGATGGACTGAGCAGCTCGACATTTCATTTACTAGTTTTTGCAAGTTTAGATTTATTACCTGTTATTTCTAGAATTAGCATTCTGGAAATTTAGGTGGTCCTGTGGTTGCGATGTGTAACGTGGCTGATTACACATATTAATTTCTTTCGCATTCGATATAGATCGGGATACATGCCGAGTATTTGCTGATATTATGGACCAATCATGTGCCTTAATGTGATTGGGGTAATCCACAACCGGAAAAAGAAGTTACACAATCGGATGATTTAACATTGCCACCTTCTAAACTCCGTTTGCTCATGTTGACGAGTAGATAATGGTGTTGTAACAGGTCTATATCAATAGTTGACATAGAAACATCTTCAACAACAAAAATCCAATGAGTAGGTTTGTGACAAGGCAGTGAAATTTAGTCATTGCATCAGTGATGTAAACACGCTGTTATGTTCGCCGGCTACGACTGCCGATATAGCGTGCCCACTGGTAAGTTTCCCGAAGTCGTTAATATTATGAGCACTCGGGTCTCTAAATTAGGCTGTCATATTAGTTACCTATAAAGACGTTTAACATAGTCAAGATATCATCGTATTGCTTTGGTATAGTAACTGAAATATCAGGTCACGAAAGCGTTCAATTCAAAACACTGGATCTTATCAATAAATATTTCTGGATCTCAATTTGTGATATAATCAGGCAGCTCTGATCTCTTAATGCTAAAACTTGTGGTATTTGCGAATCAACAAAAGCAATAATGTCCACTTCCCACTAGTCAACCTCTAATCAACACTATGAATAGTTATTCACAATGGTTTCTGGACATCGTCATAAAGCATTGTGATAACTTGACAATCATGTAATAAAACTGATGAAGTCATTAACATTAGTACGGTCGATAAATTGACTTACAATTATCATTAAACAACGTTGTTGTCTCGTGGATATCTTTAATTGTCATAGATGATTTCGGTATGTTTCTTTATCAAATGTTCATTTAGTAATTATCTTAAAACTTTGTCACTCTAATTGTAGTTTACTGACACAATCATGCATGCAAATCACCAATATTAGCAGTTTAGGAAATTTCTTGCAAAATGAAAACATCACCTCCGAATTCGATCCAACACTGAAAAAGGTTCATGACGTCATCGTAGACATGAGTTACGAGTTGCACTGCCATTGATTACAACTGATGCTCTGCCTAAAAATCACATGAGCAGCATTCACTGTTTGTCATCTTGTGAAGCTTTGTTTAGCCGAAAGCACAAAACAACACCGTGTCAAATATAATTGTGGGACGTGAGCTTTGTAGATGTCAACACATTGTAATCACTCAGGCTCATACAAATCGACTTCTATATTACCACAAATATATCACTTGTAGCTGACTTGTACACACCATCGATCAGCATCTATGAATATAAATAATTGGTTTATTGCAAGTCAGAAAATTGAATTTGGAGCATGTGTCTGTTAGTGGGACGTAGATTAGATTAAATCATGCCTAATGCACGCTTGCATAGGCGCACGCTGATTGGCTAATACTCATCCAGTCAGCGCTAGTCGATACTTGGGGAATACACTAGAAATCTTCTCATGTAAAAACTATAAATATACTAACGTTTTTCCTATTGTGCTTCTTACTTCCATCAAACCTTATTTGGAATATAATCTTTCTCCTGTTCAAACGTGTTCTGATTTGGGGACTTATCGAGTGAATTGGTGTCCGAGAATACTAAGCAATAGGAATAGCTAGGTTATAACCGTAAGAGAGAATTATATCACTCTCTTGGGTCTATGCATATTTGACAAATTACATATGTCCATCTGTCCGAAATTCACATAATTATCACTATTCTCACAAATTACATGTATTTTTGATAATCATTCATATGTATTAGTAGTATTACTAAATTCTATTACGGTTAAGCTAAAATAAGTTTGAGAAAATCTCTCCACAACCAAGTAAACTGTATTAAACTTGACGAACTAACTGGAGCACATGTAGAAATTATCGCTCTTTACGGTTATACTTTTGATCTTTTACTCAGTCTACTAATACAAATGCCACTGGGAAACAACTCATACGGACAGCATATCGGCATAAACGTTCATTGGTTTTCCGAATTACATCGAAGATAATATCAATATCAACAATAAGCCGAACATTCAAAATTATAACATGTATTTCTCAGTAAGTTGCTGCTTTAACGGTATTGGTCCTAACCACACAATCTCAAAAGCTGAACATGATATAACTTGAAAAATTAATATTCAGCAACTAACACAAAGAAAATGTCAGCAATTGAGAATGTGGAAACAATTTAATTCAATCAATCAGATGGCTCAGATTCGCTGGCGTGATCATTCTGTATAACTTTCTTTACTTACATTAAATATATTCTACATTTAGCCAAAGTGTGTTTTATAGAAATGATAAAGATTATATTGCTGATTGTTACATGCGACGAGTCGGAATAGGCTATGACGTATCTTCGACGTAAGATCTCATAAATTAGGTTTTCAGATCATGACATGTCTACAATCTTAAGATTAGGTCTAACATTATAGTAGTACGAATTCCGAAGTAGACCCGAGTTATACACTGTCATCTTTGATTTGATTTATCTTTCAACTCATCAACAGCTCGAGGATTCCTTTTATTCTTATCGTAACCTCGGAGTGCTACACTCCCACTCGATTTGGTATGGAACCAACGTTGCCTTGATTCCGGTGCGAGAATGGCGTGATGGTATTGGTTCTTAACTACACAATTTTTGAAGATGAACGTAGAATGAATGAGACAACTCATATTCAACATTTAAGACAGAGAGATGGCCAGCAATAATGAACGCGGAAACGATTAATTAAAATGACATGGCTTTTCCGTGCAGTCGTGGTCACTACGTAAAACCTACTGCACTTTGTATTGAATAAATTACTCTGTACTTTGCCTAAATGTGTTCTTCGGAAGTGCTAGACGTTATATTGCTGATTATTACGTATCACGAGTTAGTATAGACGATATGACTTCTACATGAGAACTTATAAATTAGGTTTTCACACACGATATATCTACAATTTTTGAATTAGATCTATTATTATAGTAGCGAAAATAAATGTACTTATAACGAACGTATACCATAATTATACGGTAACGTAGAGATTTTTAATGCCAGTCTGACTGGCTTTTGGTCTTTCTTAGACAGAACAGAGTCTTGTGCTGGAGATTCTGGTGATCTTTAGAATCCGGCGTCTGTTACAGCCGGTTCATGTACAGCGTTCTCTTGGAATTCGAAGGCAACCACTAGCACAATATTCAAAATCGTCATCAGTAATCATACTAAGTGTAACGTACCTATTTGAATAAAACGGGATCGGATC